AGAGAGACACAGTGAGAGAGGGAACACAAGCAGGGGGAGTGGGAGAGGGAGAAGCAGGCTTCCCGCTGAGCAGGAAGCCCGATGCAGGGCTTGATCCCAGGGCCCTGAGACCATGAGCTGAGCCGAAGGCAGACGCTTAACGACTGAGCCACCCAGGTGCCCTGTTTTTGAAGATTTTATTTGAGAGAGAGCAAGAGAGAGAGAGAGAGATCATGAGCATGGGAGGGGCAGAGGGAGAGGGAGAAGCAGACTCCCCACGGAGCAGGGAGCCCGAAGTGAAGTGGGGCTCCATGCCAGGACCCCAGGATCACGACCTGAGCCAAAGGCAGATGCTCAGCTGACTGAGCCACCCAGGCGCCCTTAATTTTAATTTTAAAAATTTGTTTCACTGCTGTCTCACCATAGATGTAGAATAGGGACTGGTAAGCCAAAAATGACCAGCTGCCTGTTTTTGTAAATAAACTTGAATTAGAACACAGCCATGCTCCTACATTAGTATATTGTCTGTGGCTGCTTTCACACTCCAACAGCAGAGTTGAGTATTGTGACAGAGACCATATGGCCTGTAAAGCCTACAATATTTGCTGCCTGGCCCTTTATTGAAAAATTTTGTTTGCTGACCCTTGGGCTAGAACAATATCTGGCACATAGTAGGTGACTGAATGAACATAAAGTAAATTCTAAGTGGCAGGGTACAAACTATAAATTGCTAGTGAGGATATGGGTTAATATTTCAAAAGTTGTTTTTAGATTTTAATAATTAGGATAATTTGGGAATATGTCAACTGTAATAACTTATTCAAGCTGAAGTTCTTGAATTTATTGCAGGCATTACTACCTGATAACAGAGATAGGCCAACTTTTTGAAGGCTACACCTAAATTGGAGATGATAGTGTTTCAAAGGCACAAGATCCTTTTAAATATCAGCTTTTATATGGTGTTACAGAAAGAACTCTAAATAATGAGTTGGTGGTAGTTGTTGGTTGCATACTGTGAAAAGCATGAACCTAAATAAATGTATACAGTTCTCAATCACTTATGCTAAAGGATGGACATATTGAATAGACAATAATACATTGTGTTTGAGTTTGGAATATATTTTTGGATTGCAATGGATTAACCTCACTATTCCAGGTACTTCTAATAGTGTATTTAAGTAGCACAGTAAAATTAAACTGCAAAACCCAGCTCAGAAGAATCTGGAAAATTGTATTGCTTCTGGCATCCTGTCTTTGTCCAAATGTACCTTTTTATTTTATTTATTTTTATTTTTTAATTTTTTTGAGAGAGCATGATGGAGGGGCAGAGGGAGAGAGAGAGAATCATAAGCAGGCTCCCCGCCCAGTGCAGAGCCAGACACGGGGCTCGACTTCACAACCCTGAGATCATGACCTGAGCTGAAATCAAGAGTCGGACGCTTAACCGACTGAGCCACCCAGATGTCCCAGTATTCTAGTTTTAAAAGGCCTTTACTATTAATTGAGCTGAGTGTAGAGAAGGAATGTTGGACTATATACTGCATGCTTAGAAAACAAATATAATTTAAGCAAATGATAAAGAATTATGGAATCAGGGCTGGAAGAAACTTCATTCAATATATATTTGAATGCACCATAGCCACTTTATTAGCCTGGGTTACAGAGGTATTGAATAAGACAGAGTTGTTGCCTTCATGAGACTTAATGTCTAATCCTCCTCCCCAGTCTCCATCTCACCTCATTTTATGTTGTGTATTGAAATCTAAAGCTTGAGAGAGCAAGTACTTTCCCCAGCGTTGTGTAGATTGTTACTGGTAGAATGGAACTAGAATGCAAGTTTCTTATATGGGCGATAAAGGCAAAATATTGATTCATTTATGCACAGTTTTGTGTTTATCCCTGTACTAAGTACTGGAAGATAGGGTGGTAAGTAGAAGGGCACATTTTTTTTGATGTAGAGCTTCAAAGGAATTTTTTTGGGGGGAGAATCCAGAACGTTTTCCACTATGTTGCATTATACTATTTACAGTCTTTAATCTCATAGGAAGGTTAGGGGCTCTCATATATGATTCTTCAGTGTGACTAAGTTCAGTAAGTTTAGTGTTTTTCTGACACCCAAAGTCCGTTTTATTGAAGGACTGGGACTTTTGCATGAGGAAGGAAGAATGAAGTAGTTATGGATTCTCTGTGGGAAGGGACCTTTATTTATTTCAAAATTTGTATAGAGTCTAAACTTTTGCCCTATGAGTAAGAAAGAACCTTTTTTCTTTTTAATGGCTGTGCTATCAGGACCCAGAACCCAGGCTGATATTTAAAATCAGCCATATTGTAGGTTAAATAGACTTGCACACTGACCTTCTCTTTCCTTTTAGTTACCCAAGCTTTGGGTATATGTAATACTCAATGGTCAAAGAATCACATCTAAAGCAGAACACATATTTTATTCTTTAAAATTTCTTCTCAAACTGATTGCGATTATATTTGATTTTTTCTTCTCAGTGCTTGCTTGCTAAAAAAATCAAACATTTGACAGTCTAGGGAAGATGAAAAAGGTTAATTAAACTGCGGCTAAATAATTTAAGATGTTTTAGTTATTTGGTGGCATAGACGATTAAGGTTTTTTTCCTTAAAATGTCTAGTTGGGAGGGGCGCCTGGGTGGCTCAGTTGGTTAAGCGACTGCCTTCGGCTCAGGTCATGATCCTGGAGTCCCTGGATCGAGTCCCGCATCGGGCTCCCTGCTTGGCAGGGAGTCTGCTTCTCCCTCTGACCCTCCCCCCTCTCATGTGCGCTCTCTAATTCTCTCTCTCTCAAATAAATAAATAAAATCTTTAAAAAAAAAAAGTCTAGTTGGGAATGCTTTTACAATGGAGAATTTTTAGAGTAAGTTATCTTCACCTCAGGCCTCCTTGCTCTTCCTGTTCCAGAGTATCTTCTTCCATTCTGCTGGGACCAATTAGTTCTTGGCTCAGGTGTTTTAGTTTCTCTGTGGAAGGTGAGCTTAACCATGTTTATAATCTGTGAACATTAAATTCTCTGCCGGTGATCTAAATAAAGCACATTGAATTGGGTATCTTCAAATGCAGATGATTTATTTTCTCTGAATTTAGATCATAGCATTTAAAAATGAAAAGACCTGGGGTGCCTGGGTGGCTCAGTTGGTTGAGTGTCTGACTCTAAATTTTGGATCAGGTCATGATCTCAAGGTCATGATCTCAGGGTCATGAGATTGGGCTTCGTGCTCAGCACAGAGTCTGCTTGAGATTCCTTCTTCTTCCTCTGCCCCTCCCTATGCTTGTGCTCCATAAACAAACAAACAAACTCTTAAAAAAAGCCTCTTTAAAAAAAATGAAAAGACCTTAGAAATAGTGGTTATTATATATTAGTGATGATTATTCTAGTTCTGTTGCAGGAACCACATTTTAAAACACTACAAATTAGTGTTATGTTGTAGAGGAGGTAGTATGACTAAAAGTCTCAAATTACTTAATCATTTCAAAAATATTTGTAAAATAACTGAAATAATATGCTAGTAAGAAACATGGACTGTGTGTATAAATATAGGTGATTTCAAATAACACTTAAAGCTAGAGTGGCATACAATTTGAAACATATTCTCACATTTTAATTGTGTATGTCTTAAATCAGTCAAAATATCTTTTACCATGATCAAATCAAATATTTCAGTGGGTGCTGGAGAGAAGGAGGAGGAGCTGGATGAGCGGAAATGTTGTTTGATGTCATTTGGTTAGTATATATGGTATATATAGCAAGGCAGGCTAAGTTTGACCTTCCAGCATTTCAGGCTGGGGTCTCCAGGCATGCTGTTGCAGTTATCTATTGCCAAGGAACAAAACCACTTCAAACTTGGCACAGAACTCTCAAGGTTCTGGGTGTTGACTAGGCTTATCTAAGTGATTCTTGCACAAGTTCTTTCATGCACTTGTAGTCTGATGGGTCTTGTGTTTTCTCCTAGACTCACAGGTCTGGCACTTGAGCAGGGAAGTCCAAATAACTAGAATCTGGAATAACTCCTTGAACATCACTATCTCTGTTTTTGTGTAGTCCCCGCATAGGGGCTTCATCGTAGCCAGAGTTCTTACATGGAGGCTTAGGGCTCCAAAAGCATTTGTTCTGAATAAGAGAGCCAGAAGGGAGGTGTATTGTCTTTTATGACCTAAATTCAGAATCAGTGTCATTTCTTTTGCATGTTATTCATTAGAAGTGAGTCAGTAAGGCCAACGCATATTCAAAGGGAAGGGAATTAGACTCCACCTCTTTCTGGGAAGAGTGTCAAGAATATGCAGACATATTTCAAAGCCACTTTGGTTGTTCTTCCTGCCACAGATTATTTACATTCCTCCCAAGTGCAAAACACACTTACCCCTTTTCAGAGGGTCTTTGTTTTTTTGTTTTTTTTTTTTTAACATGGAACACTTCACGAATTTGAGAATTTGCGTGTCATCCTTGTGCGGGGGCCATGCTAATCTTCTCTGAATTGTTCCAGTTTTAGTAATGTGCTGCCAAAGCAAGCACAGAGGGGTCTTACCTGATACATCATCATGCTCAGGCTTGAGGTCTAGGATCTTGTCATCTAAATCAGATCCAGGTGCAGGTTAGGCTATTTGGATATTGTTTCTTGTGTATAGCTCCCTGGGTACCATTACTTTCACTTTGAAGACCTGTAAGCTAAAGAGATACATTACCTCTCCCTAGCCCACCCAGTATGCAACAGTGGACAGGCATAAGATAACCACTATGGACACTTCTGTTAAAAAATAAAGCAAAATGTAAGGAACACAATAGTTGTTGGTCCACAGCAAATCTGAAATCCAGCCAGGCCCATATCATCACTTCTGTGATTAGGGCTCGGCTATATTGCCTAGGAACAATCCTTCATAGCTCTTGGTTTTGCCCTCTGGATTAGCTTTCCTTTTCCATAAGATGTATCCTTTGTTTGCAGCTGAGTAATTTCCTAAACCATAGGGTTTGAGCATGAAGGGGGTGTTTGTCCCAAAAACCTCTTTTCATTTTGTACTGTCTTGTTTAGTCCAGGATGACAATGTTTCTCAACGTAGAATTCTCTGAATCTTTTTGAGGGGTTTACTGTGTTAGACAAAAGCCACACTTACACAGTGATATAAGCCTTTCTCTACCTTAGGCTCTGTAGAAGAGGAAAAAGTTTTTCTTGACCTCTTAAGATCCCTGGCTGTGTCTGAAAATTAAATTGACAAAGATTAAAAGGATACACATTTATTTAATGTAAGTTTTATGTGACACAGGAGCCTTTATTAGTAAATGAAGACCTGAAGAAATGTTTAGTTTTTAAGTTTTTATTTAAATTCCAGTTTAAAAAATTCCAGTTAGTTAACATACAGTGTAATATTAGTTTCAGGTGTACAATATAGTGATTCAGCACTTATATACATCACCCAGTGCTCATCACAAGTGCATTCCTTCATCTCCATCACCTATTTCCCCCATCTCCCCACCCACCTCCCCTCTGGTAACCATCAGTTTGTTTTCTGTACTTAGGAGTCTGTTTCTTGGTTTGCCTCTGTTTTTTTCTTCTATGCTCATTTGTTTTGTTTCTTTTTTTTTTAAAGATTTTATTCATCCATTTGACAGAGAGAGCACAAGGAGGCAGAGAGGCAGGCAGAGGGAGAGGGAGAAGCAGACTCTCCACTGAGCAGGGAGCCCGATGCGGGGCTCGTTCCCAGGACCCTGGGATCATGACCTGAGCCAAAGGCAGCCGCTTAACGGACTGAGCCATCCAGGCGCCCCTTGTTTCTTAAATTCCACTGAGTGAAGTCATATGGTATTTGACTTTCTCTGAGTGACTTATTTCACTTAGCTTAATGCTCTCTAACTCCATCCACATCATTGCAAATGGCAAGATTTCATTCCTTTTTATGGCTGAGAAATATTCCATTGTATGTGTATGTGTGTGTGTGTGTGTGTGTACTACAACTTCTTTATCCATTCATCTATCGCTAGACACTTGGGCTGTTTCCATAGTTTGGCTATTATAAATAATGCTGCTATAAACATTGTGGTGCATATATCCCTTTGAATTAGTATTTTTGTATTCTTTTTTTTCTCTGAAATTTTATTTATGTTTTTATTTTTTTGCTTGCTTCCTAGGGCTTTATTTTTTATTTAAATTCAATTAATTAACATATAATGTATTATTAGTTTCAGAGGTAGAGTTCAGTGATTCATCAGTCTTATATAATACCCAGTGCTCATTACAACACATGCCATCCTTAATGTCCATCACCCAGTTACCCCATCCTTCTGTCCCCCTCCCCTCCAGCAACCCTGTTTGTTTCCTATGATTAAGAGTCTCTTATGGTTTGTCTCCCTCTCTGATTTTGTCTTGTTTTATTTTTCCCTGTCTTCCCCTATGATCCTCTGTTTAGTTTTTTAAATTCCACATATGAGTGAGATCATATGATAATTGTCTTTTTCTGATTGACTTATTTCACTTAGCATAATACCCTCTAGTTCCATCCACGATATTTTTGTATTCTTTGGGTAAATACTTAGTGGGGCAATTGCTAGATTGTAGGGTAGTTCTATTTTTGATGTGAAGAAATGTTTAAACCTGAGTATTTTTATGCTAGGTTTGATGAAGAGTAGGCACTTGTTGAGAAATCTGGTAAGACAAAGAGTATGAGTAAAGTATAGTAAACTGGGGGAAATTTAGCAAGGCCTGTTTGTTAGGATTCTTCTCTATGTCCCTTTGCCTTTGGAGGTAAGATTGCTCCCTTCTTCCAGGTACAGGGAGGGCACCTCTCATATGAGAGTTTTATGATCTGTTTCAGGGGAGAAGAGCAGGGGAAAGGTCAGAGTGACCTTCCTGCTTCTGCCATTTTCTCAAGCTCCTTCAGCTTAATACTCAATATGTCAATGTACCTTATTTTGGGGAAGCGTGTTCTGAACCCTCTCAGCTCCATTTAAGGTTTTTGTGGGATAATACCTTTAAGATTCTTAGAAGGCTTTTTTTTTTTTTTTTAAAGATTTTATTTATTTATTCATAAGAGACAGAGAGAGAGGCAGAGGGAGAAGCAGGCCCCCTGCTGAGCCGGGAGCCCGATGCGGGACTCGATCCCAGGACTCCGGGATTACGACTTGATTCGAAGGCAGACGCTGAACCATCTGAGCCACCCAGGCGCCCAAGGCTTTTTGTTTGAAAGGAATTATGAGGCACCACCTTAAATTAAATCTCTCTTTTTTAAAAAAGATTTTACTTACTTATTTGACAGAGAGAGACACAATGAGAGAAGGAACACAAGTAACAGGGGTGAGAGGGAGAAGCAGGCTTCCCCCAGAGCAGGGAGCCCGATGTGGGGCTGGATCCCAGAACTCTGGGATCCGAAGGCAGATGCTTAACGACTGAGCCACCCAGGCGCACCAAATTAAATCTCTTTGGAGTCTACACTAGGGTCGGTCAACTATTGCCAGTGAGCTAAGATTTGTTTTTACATTTTTAAAGGGTTGTAAAAAAAAAAAGAAGAATGTTCAACAGAGACTGTATATGGCCCTCAAAGTCCACAATACTTAACTTTCCCTTTATAGAAAAAGTTTGCCAATCCTTGGTCTAAACAAATGTTTAATCTTTAGGCCATGAGTCCCTGACACTGCCTTGGATTTGATCTTTCTCCAGAGGGTATTTCTTAATTTTTTAAAAAAGATTTTATTTATTTATTTGTCAGAGAGAGCAAGAGAACACAAGCAGGGAGAGCAGCAGACAGAGGGAGAAGGAGCTCGATGATGTGGGGCTTGATCCCAGGATCCCAGGATCATGACCTGAGCTGAAGGCAGACGCTTAAGCGACTGAGCCACCCAGGCACCTCTGGGCATTTCTTAATTTTTTTTTTAATGTTTTGATTCTTTCTTTTTTTTTTTTTAAGATTTTATTTATTTATTTGACAGCGAGAGAGGGAACACAAGCAGGGGGAATGGGAGAGGGAGAAGCAGGTTTCCCGCTGAGCAGAGAGCCCGACATGGGGCTGGATCCCAGAACCCTGGGATCATGACCTGAGCCAAAGGTAGACGGGACATTTCTTAATCTGAGAAATGTTTGCTATATGGGAGTAAGAAACAGTTTTATTTTTGGACCTAGCAAGTCCTGACTCCTTTATATTTTCTCTATATTTTTTTAAAATTATATAATTCCTTCTTTTTCTCATCTCTCTCTACCTGTACTTTATGATAGTTAGCTGGAAAAAAAATGACACTTTTGATATTCTGCCTGGAAATTTCCTTACCCATATTCATCAGTTCATTTGTTATATTTTCTGTTTTCAACATTGTTTCAGATGACAGCTTTGCTAAACTTTCCACTTATCTAGTAGGATTTTCCTTTCCTTCAGCGTTCAGTAACACTTTTCTTACTTTCTTTTAAGCCAAGGATCAGCAACTTTATTCTGTCAAGGGCCAGACAGTACATATTTTAGGCTTTGTGGACCATGTGGTCACTGGCACATCTACTTAACTATGCTGTTGTAGTGAGAAGGAGCCTGCAGACAATATGTAAATGAACGGGTGTGGCTGTGTTTCAGTAAAACTATTTACCAAAGCACGTAGCAGGTTGAATTTTGCTGGTAGGTTGTGGTTTGCTGACCCCTGTTTTAAGTCTTTATTGACAGCTTCCTTGAGGCTTTTCCTAACAGTGACAGTTAAGACCCTTTCAGGCTCTCACTAACACTTTCAGCCACTTCTGACTTTCTCTTGCCATCTAATCCTGAAGCCAAACATTTATATTTTTGGAAGCAACCCTATAACCAAAATCTGCTTTGGTTTTCTACTGCTGTGTAATATACCGTTGCAAACCTAGTGGCATAAAACAACAATCCCTTTTTTTTTTTTTTAATCTTTTATGATTCTGATGTTTGAACTTGGCTAGGCAGTTTCCTCTTGGGGTTTTTCATGAGGATGCAAACAGATGATAGCTGGGGCTGGAATCATTTAAAAGGCTTCCTCTCTTACACAGTGGGAGGCAGATGGTACTTGGGCCTGAAGTCATCTTCAAGGATTCCTCATTCACGTATCAGGTGACTGGGCTAGGAAGACTTAACCAGCTGGCACTTCTTGGACATCTCTATAACCCTGTGACGTCTCATCCTGTACTCTGTCCAGCATGAGGGCTTTAGGGGAGTTGGATAGCTTAGATGTGATTCCGGAGTCCAAAGTTGCCTGTCCTCAGGGAGTGCCAGGCAGAAGTTTTATCACCTTTTATGACCTAACTTCTGAGGTTACTCAGTGTTACTTCTGCTTCATTCTCTTCATGGGGAGGAGAATTAGAATCTGTGTTTGGGAGTAGGATTGAAGAATGTATGAACATGTTTTAAAACACAAAATGTTCCACACATACACCTATCAAAAAATTTTGGAAGCTAGAATATAGAAGGTTATACTTTGTTAGAACAGCCTTTCTTTTCTCCATTCACTGCGGTAGAGGTAGGAGATCCCTCCCTTCATTTAATGTTCAAGAATGGACGTGTGCGGGTTGCCTGGGTAGCTCAGTCGG